ATAGTTTGGTGCATACAAGAGTATAAATAAACACAAATTCAACATACTTACGATAAAGGTGGTAATTACTGGAGTTGATTGTGAAAGAAATGCTGTGTAGAAATAAAACAGGTGCATTCAGTTGTTAGTTTACGAAAGTTTTCAAATATGTAGGAATCAATCTTACGATTGTTATCAATGATAAGAACATCTTTTATACTAAACTAAATATTTTCACTGCGAAACACGCTTGATGAGTGAATGTCCTCATTGTAAAAGTCACTTACTTGAGATAATCACACAAACTCCAGTTCTGACGATTTGTCCAACTTCACTGGAACGAATCCTTTCGATAAGAGAGGAGAATAGTTCTTCCCAGCCATATAATTTAAGTAACTTCATACTTTGTAGAAGCTCAGTGGACTTTTTCAAGCGCTCGTCTGCAAACGACTACAAACAACTAACGTTATAATCAATATAAAGTACTAGTCTAGTTGTCGACTCTGTTTCATTCAATGTTATAACCTTTATTTCCGAAACAAATACTGTGATAGGTGTTGTACTTTACTTTTCCCAAGGTAGGCAATAAACATGGATTGATGGTCATCCATACAGTATTAAATAAAATAAACGAACCAACACACTTACGAGAACACAGAACTGTATCTCTGACATTTTTGTGATAATCTTGTATTGTATAGGAGATACAATGAAAAGTAGTAAAGAACCGAAGAATGCTGATAGTCCGAGCTCCAAATATAATAATAGCAGCGCAAATAACACCTGTAAAAGCATTAGAAAAGATACAGGTTTTCAGTTGACAATAATTATTTGCAGTTCAGATTTATGTGTTGAGCTACCTACGTTAACAACTACTGCATTCGGGGACGTGTTACATCACAACACTTTGTCTCAATATTATACATATACAAATATGATAATACGTGGACTACTAACCCGGAATGGTATGGAAGCATTATGGAATAGATACATGAAGAACCATTGTATCGCTCATTTGAACTCATTCAGTCCGAACTCTATTTTCAATTTATTCCAATGACGCGAAAAGAAGGCAATTATTTTTGTTAATCTATGTAGCGCTTAAACAAATAAATAAAAAACATGCTGTAAAGTCACTCAATGGTTTTGTAAATTCCATATCTTAGTTTTAAGGAATGATACAGATAAGACGCCATGGATTGTACTATGCTACTGTCTAACATCTATTGTCTAACATATAATCAATTTAACAAATTATATGAAGGCAATGTAAAATAGCATCTTGGAATGTATTTTTCCCTAATAACCTCAAAAGATG